CTCCTTGATCCTCTTAGCCTGGGCCGAACTTTTCTCTTTGATGCCCCGAAGTTGAACCTCGGCCGATGACAGTTTGGCCAAGGTAGTTTCTTTTTCCGCAGCCACGCGGTCCATATTCCCCTTCCACCGATCACAATTGGCCTTGACCTGATCGACTTCTCCCCGAAGCAGCTCGATCCTTTCAATCTTTTGCTGCAGTTGAGATAATGAAGTATTAGCCTCCATAGTTGGGTCGAGTCCATACTTTATCAAAAGGATTGCTCACCTGCTTATCTAGCTCGGCCTCTTCCTCACGAGCCTTGGCCAAATCTGCTTGAATGTCCTTTATAGTTTCGTCTTTTTGGCCGCAAAAAAGCTTCAGAGCGTTCCTCTCCTCCGAGACCTTTTGGAGCTCGGTTTCACACTGGCTAAGGTCAGCTCGAAACTTGGCGAATACATATACAAAAAAGGAAAAAACACAAGTCAGATTTAGAGAAAAAAAGAGTAAAGAAAAGAAGTGCAGCAAACTGATTCTTACCCGAGATAAGAGATGTTGGGCCTCTTCTAAAAGAATAGAAGCGTCACTGATATCATAGGCATCATCAACTCCAGTAAAGCAATCCCAAAAGGGATCCCCTACACTAGAGCCTCCGCCTATATCAGGTGTCTTCAACTCTCGAGCTTCCCTTAGTGCCTCCTGAGAAAACGTCGGAAGAGAAGGCAAGTGACATGTTGTCATGGTCCCGAGCAAGTCGCTCGGGACGCTCTGATCGATATTCGGGGTCTCAGAACCGGCCCCGTCCGGTGTAGTTGTAGATGGCCGAGAAACGATCTCGACCTCTGTTAATTCGAGATCCTCACCCGATTTCGTTTTGGAAGCCTCCTTGACACGAGGCTTGATTTTAGCAGCCGTCGTCGGCTCAGAAGGTTTGGTGACCTCGATGGCTTTCCTAGGTCAGACCGTCACTGCTGAGGCATTTTCCTATTCTTCCTCTTCTGTGTCTCTTAGTTTTTGCACCGAGTCCATCATGAGAGCAATTACTTTCCTCCTCATCCTTCGAGGTTTGGGCTTGGGGTCCTCGGACTGTGAGGTAGTTTTCCTCTTCTTGTCTTTCCCTGGCTTCGGAACCGGGGACTTGGTTTCTTCCTCGCCACTTGAAGGCCTCAAAATGGCATCCTTGGTCAGGCCTGCATGAAAGAAAATTAGTGACGAATGAAGTACAAAAACTGTTTCAGAATATGAAAAATGAGATCCTTACTGTGGTTCTTGGCCTCCCATCAGCCCCTTGCTAAATCACGCCATGCGCGTTCGGCATAAGTGAAAGTTGAGGCTAACTTCCGAACCCAATCTTTGAGGTCAGGTACCGCTTGAGGCATCCAAGGAATAGCTGCATGTCGAAAGGGGATATCAGGCGAAGTCGAAGACGATACGAAGAACAAAGTTTAAAAGATCACTTACGGTCGAAGTTTCACTACTCAGGGAACAGCATCTTCTCTTCCGGGATAATGTCGCAGGTCCTCACCCATATAAAATGGCTCATCCAACCCCGATCCTTGTCCTCATTGATGCTCGAGACCAAGGCCTTCGTTGCTCGGCGTTGGAGCCTGATTAATCCTCGATTGATTCGAGGCCGGTACAACCGCATGAGGTGATTTAGAGTAAACTCTAGCCCCTCGGCCTTGCTAGAGAAGAAGCACAACATGAATACTATGTGTCTTAGAGAGGGGTGGATTTGGTCGAGGGTGACCTGATATCTTTTACAGAGATCAATAATCACTGGGTCGAGGGGACCCAATGTGAAGGGGTAAGTGTAAACACTTAGGAACCCCTCCACATAAGCGGTGATGCTCTCTTCGGGAGTAGGAATTTGCACCACGACCTCGGGACCCCAGTTGCAGTCCCTCTTCATGGCCTCAAGGTGGCTCTTCGTTATTGAGTACATGTACATCTACACATGCTCACATCGGCCCGGGATCAATGAAGGGTTTTCGACCTTGAAGTCGGATTTTAGAGTACATGGGCCGGGAACATACTCTGGGGAAGCGGCTCCACCGGTGCCTTGCCGCCGGACGACCGGGAAGAGGAGCAAGAAGCTTTCTCCTTCTGCGGTATGGTTTTTGAGGTTTTCGCCATTTGTATAAGTAAAGAAGAGCGAAGGAAGATGAAAAACTGGTGGTTTCGGTGCTAACGAAGGTGGCTCTACAGACGGCAAAAAGGAAGAGACGAAAAGAGTGAGAAGACTTAGAGGTTTGATTAGAGCAAAAGTAAAGTTTGATTCAATGAAGGAGTGGGTATTTATAGGCTCACGGCGACAGTTCGGTGGCGCTAGTGGCCGACCGCTAACTGACATGCATTAATGATTTGGGAAACTGAACCGACGGGACGTTTCAGTCATATCTGTCACTTACGTCATGAGGACGACATCATGATCGAGGTTTCGAAAAATCAAGGCTCAAACTGTTTCTTATCATTCTATTTCAAGAAACGCGGGGACTATCTGTGTACGGTAGAAATCGGGCATGTCTGATTTCATAGGCACGAGAAGCTGCCTCGAAAGTTAGCTCGTAATAGACCAGGCTCGAGTTCAATGGCAGAGTATGGAGCATGAAGATCGAAAAGCTCGCTGAAGATCGAGACCGAGCATGACCGACTTCGAGCAAGGCATAATAACGGAATGGCGAGATATTAGCAACCGACCGAAGATCTCGGCGGAAATTCCGGAACAGATCGAATCAAGCGGTTATTGACGTCAATCATGGGATTTGTTTCCGTTATTAGAATTGTACCTTATTTAGGATTCCTCTACTATATAAAGAGAGACCCCATTCATTTGTAAGGGAGATGGATTGACTAATAATCACATACACATACACTGCTTTCTCTATTTCACTTACTATCTATTACAACTCATCACTGTTTAGTTTCTGTTCTTTATTGTTCTTGTTACCCAACCTCGAGGCCATCTCGAATCGAAGTCGAAAGCACTGCCAGAACACTGGTTTGATTTATTTTATTATTCAGATTATCTATTTAATTCTTTGTTTATCAATTAGCATTGGATTAAATCACGTATCCTTGAAACCACTAAATAAATTTAATTGTTACTCGAAATTTTAGGGTAAACATTTTTCTTTGTTGATTGTTTTAAATTTTTTGCCAACTTTATTTGAAAAATAAAATAAAGAGAAATGTCGACCACAACTTTTAAAAATTGTTCATTTTGTAGTAGCATTGTGAGTTTATGACCCCAAAAAACCTCAACAAAGCTCACTTGCCAATACCACTCTTATTGTTGATTAACATTAATTTTTTTTGAACCCGCTAGCGTAAAATTTTGGGTACGTCACTGAATACTTCTGTGATCCGCAGGCAAAAGCTAGGAAAGCTCTGTGATATTGAGAATAAACTTTGAACTTAGAGGGTGTTTGGGTAAAATATTATAGGAAAAATTATGCGACACATCAAATAATTATACTGTATTTATCATTCGTAGCTGTACTTTTAACAAATTTATCATTCGTAGCTATATTTGAATTTTATAGCAAATTTATGAAATAAGAGATTAATTATTTTAAACTGAATAGCTCAATTGGTTAGAGCGCTTTCTTAGCTAGCGGAGGTCTTGAGTTCGACTCTCAACAAGAACATTTTATTTTTCTGTATTTTTATATTTTGCCTTTATTGTATTCGGTACGTGAATAAATACAGTCAACACATGTTGTATCATTTGTGTACACCCTTATATCACTTGTATTCATTGCATTTGAATACAAGTGATACAAATTAGTAATAATTGAATAGTAGCTATGAATGGTAATTAAGCAAACAATAGTTACTAGGCTCTAAATAATAGTGGTTTATGAAAATTTCACTATCAACAAGAACATTTTATTTTTATGTATTTCTGTATTTTACCTTTGTTGTATTCGTTGCGCGTATAAATACAATCGACATATGTTGTATCATTTGTATACACCCTTATATTTCGTTTTGGTTACAGTTGATACATATTGTATTCGTTGCACGAATGAATACAAATGGCGCGAACGAATACAGTTGATACATGTTGTATTGGTTACGCATTTGAATACAAGTGATACAAGTTAGTAATAATTGAATAGTAGCTAATTAGGCAAACAATGGTTACTAAACTCTAAATAATAGTGGTTTATGAAAATTTCTCAACATATAAGCTAATCAAACTGGTTTATGTACCTTTTGGCTTATCAGCACGTTTTGTAAATACCAAAGTGCTTGTAAGCCAAAATCAACCAAAAGTTATAAGTTGGTCATCCCTAATCTATAACTTTTAACTTATAAACACTTTTAGCTTGACCATGAATTTTATTGTTTTATCCTTTGTTTTTTCCTAACTCCAAAGTATCTTTCCCAAAATAAAACTCCTAACTTTTCTCCATTTCATATTTGTTGCGCTCCTTTTTCTTACAAAGATACTTTTAAATTTATAGTTTTTTGTAAAAATTTAAGATTATATCAATACTTTATAACAAACACATCAATTATTTGTTACGTATTATTTTCAATATTCTATCCAAAGATGTAACTAATTATTTACACAAACAGTTTTAGCATATTATGCTTAACAACTATTTACAATCATCTAATCCAAACAAATTTTTAAATTTGAAATTTCTTTTAAAGTCGAAATTATGGTTAGAAGGTGCAAGTAAAATGAAGTTTTCCTCAATTATAATTACTTTTCACTTATTTTTCTTTAAAAACCGCCTAACAAAGCACAACATCCTTCATACACCTTAGTCCAACTTCACCTTTATATAACTACTTTTCTTACTTCAACTTCAAATGTTGCCCGAGCAGTAAGTTAAAATTAGTAAACAACTTTGTCCAAAAACTTATTCAAAAAGAACTTTTCCAATTGTCCATATGGATCCAATCAAGAAAAGTCTGGGCTTTCTAAAAGAAAAAGTAACGTGTGGGACCAGTTGGCCCATCTGACCATAGCCCAAATAGATAGGAAAAAGAAGAAATATCCTTAGCGTGTATAATTCTTCAATACATGAACCCTTTCATGCGAAGGAACCTTACACGCTTTGTGATACAAACAAACTGTTAAAAATGGCTAACTATTTGACTTCCTAAAAGATCTTCCTTGCCGTCTCCGCACCGTACCCTTTCAGGAACTGTCAAAAAATCCAGTCTTTTTCGTTCCCCATATGAATCTTGAATTTTACTCTGATTGAATTGTTACAATTAACCCCAAAAAAAACCCAATCTTTTAGATCGTTCAAACCCATGATTCTTTTACTGAATTATACAAGATGGGTTGATTTATATTGAGCAATTTGCTGTTGGTGTAAGTTAAAGATTGGATTTTTATCAGATTCTTGGTTCAATTCAAATGGTCTGTTTACTGCCACTTGACCAAGAAAAAATCATGGCCAAATCACAGAATTCAACTGACCCTTGTATGAAATTGGGGAAAATCAATCAAATGCAAAAGAAAAAGAACATGCTCAATTCCAAGAATCAATTAAGCATTCCTGCTTGTGAAAAATCTCGTTCTGCTTTGATTGATGTAATGATTCTGATTGCTGTGATTGGTGCTTGTGGGGTTTTGCTGTATCCTTCTGTTAATCTTTTGGTGAATAAAATACCTGAAATTCTCAGAACAATCAGTTCTGAGGTGAAAGAGGAAATTTATGAAGCTCCAGTAGTATACATCTGTTTAGGACTTAGTATTTTATTTGCTGGAATAGCTCTTTTGGCAGTTACAGTATGTACAGGCAGGAGATGTGGGAAACCAGGTTGTCGTGGGCTTAAGAAAGCTGCTGAATTTGATATACAATTAGAGTCAGAAGATTGCGTTAAGAACTCAGCAAAAGATGGAGTCAATAAGAAGGGATTATTCGAGTTACCTCGCGATCATCATAGAGAATTGGAAGCTGAGCTTAAAAGGATGGCACCTCCTAATGGAAGAGCTGTTCTTATATTTCGAGGGAGATGTGGATGCTCTGTAGGTACAATGGAAGTGCCTGGACCGAAAAAGACTCGAAAGGTTAAGAAATAAGAGTAATGTTTATCTGTAAAACATATTTTATACTGAAGTAGGCCTAAGTCCTAATTATCGGATGATAAGAAGATACTATTTCCTTCAATAAGTTTATTGAAATAAAATCTAATGGATTATATAGAAAAGTCATTTGTAGTGTTTATATTAAAATCATTTCTCTTACTAGCTTTTTCATTTTAATTATGTTAGTAGTACTTAAGTGGTATTTGCTTTATGCTTGGCATTAGATTAACTGTACTTTTATGTCTTCATGGGTACAAACAGTGTCAATCTTTTCCCAAGTTACCACTGTTGCTCATTATTTGAAATTTTAGTTGCTAGACCTTCACATTGAGTTTAGTAGTATTAAGAGTTACAGTCAAGGCTAGGAAAAAGAGAGACTTAAATTGCAGCAAATAGACTTTAAGGTTATATTTCTTTCTTAAGATGTTTCAGTACATTCTTACAGTATCCTTGATATAAGATGCTCACAAAATACTCTTGAACTTTGAAGTGTGTCTGGATCCCTCTAGTGCTACAAGTACTTTATGAAACAACCTTGGCTACATATGTTATTGCAAATTCTTTTCTCAGAATTGCTCAGTTCATGAAACGGAGGTTTAACTCATATTTTTCAATGATTTTATATGAAAAGAATGCTTTTAACTGCGCAGCGCTGTCTTTTGAATCTGTAAGTCGCTTCAGCCTGTCGTCATGGTGACAGCATTTTCTACTGAATTGATGTCTGGACTTTTGATTGTACCTTTATTAACAACAACTTCCTGAGATAGTTCAATTCGTGTCCGAATATTATGGATGGCCTTTGTGCTCTCTGTTTCATTCTTTAGCAGTGTTTCAGATTTTGAGAATGGGGAGCAAGTTCGGAACTTTATTTATATATATAGGAAAAATAATTTCTTTCCGAGTGTTATAGCAAGTCCCGTAACAGAGTTGATATGAGGTTTCTATTGAGATTGGAATGTCTTAAGGTGGTATTTCTGAATTCAGCACTTCTTTTGCTAAAGAATTCACTTCTTTATCACTGAATTGGACCACTCTGAAGCACATTACTCTTGGAGATGCCTGTACATCTATTTAATTTGATCTTTGTTGTTGCTTAATTTGCTAGTTTTCTTGAAAAGTGTCAAAATGGATAGTTGCATATATTCAATATAGAGTGAAAAGGCCTCCCACGATGTGGCTTAGTGTCGATGAAGTGAGATGTGAACAAAGTCGAGGGTTCAAATCTCAACAGAGGCAAAAAAGTTAGGTGATGTTTTCAATCTGCCTAATCTTTAGTGGACGAAGTTACTCAGTCATATGTACTGATGGGAGGTAGTAGGTACCCAATACAATAGTCTAGATGCACGCAAGCTGACCAGACTCCGTTGTTTTAAAGAAAAGTTGTTAGTCTCGTGTCTGTTGAGGATGATTCAGTGTTGCACTTAGACTTGATCAATAAGCTTAACTGCAACTCTATTTAGGAGATGGTTTTGATATTCCAGGTTGCAGAAGCTATAGTGTAAACTTGAGTACCGTGGACAGAGCAAGGGGAGATAGTGCAGACCCCTGGTAATTAGCTATAAAATAGTAACTCGATTGCTAGCCCTTATTCGAGTAGGTGAGTTAATTTGTCTAAGCTATTTCTTTCTAAGTAGAATGAGGCTCCCGTTGATTGTGTTACTTGCTTAAGACCTCCATCAAAACCCCAAGAAGAAAGTCGCAACTGCCACTTTTTCCATTCGTGTATTACCTATCTGTCTGAATTCATCTGCAATTTCAGCCCGCATGTTTCAGAACCATATGTTTTATGTTCGTCTTTCCTATTAATTAGGACGAACGAGGTGAATAGTCTTCTGATACAGTAGATTTACTAGTCTTTTGAGAAATTTTAAGCGCATGTTAAGTCGTTCTTTTATATTTTGAAAAACTGCATAACTATAGACCTAGCCGAGTACTATCGCTCTCATTTCCAAACTCTTCTTCTCCTCCTCTTCTTGTCTCACCATCTAAATCCAGCGAACCTTCACAAAGAATACCACGGAAATTACTGTAAAAACATAATGCGATTGAAAATACTTGTGAACAATTTAAAAAGATTAGTACAATGAAGATAGTACTAAGTTATGATTGCCCGGCAAAACTTGTGAACAATTGAACAATACATGCAAGATTTGTCCATCCTACAAAATTTATGAACAATTGAACAAGCGTAAATTTTCATTCTTCCGATTATGCAGCGCCAAAGCTATATTTGCAAAACTTTTTTAAACGGAGACATAAACACGATCTCAATGTATCCTATTTCTTCAAATATCCCAGAATAAATAGAGACAAACTGTGGACTTTAAGGCCATTTATTTTGCAAGTCGTAGAACTCTTGGACTAAAATTAAGGGAAATTACATTGCATATCTTGATAGAGAATCTTATACGTGTAACAACCACTATTAATAAGGGGATAATATCCCTTAAATGTAGCCTTAATTATTGAAACGTGTACTCAGTGAATTTTGAGATTCACATATCTCCTAATTAAGCCATATTCCTATTTTCCATAGAACTTCCTGTATTATTGTATACTCTATACTTTCAAATCTTCCCATATATTATGAACATACCACAATATTCTAATTTGGAATAAAATTCAAATCGAATATATCACAATATTCTAATGACAAGTATAATATCTAAACCAAGCATATCACAATATTCTAATTTAGAATATATTATTCAAACTAAATATACCATAATATTTTAATTTGTAATATATTTTTCAAATATTATAATATTCTAATTTGGAATACAACATTCAAACTAAATATACCATAATATTCTAATTTGGAATACAGTATTCAAACCGAACATACTCTAATATTCTAATTTGGAATACAATATTCAAACAATATTTTCATTTGGAATACAATATTCAAATAATATTTTCATTTGGAATACAATATCAAACCAAATATTTTTTAATTTGAAAAATCTGGTTTGAATACTGTATTCCAAATTAGAATAGTGTGGTATATTTGATTTGAATACTATATTCAAAATTAGAATATTATCGTATATTTAATTTGAATATTGTATTCCAAATTAGAATATTGTGTTATGTTCGATTTGAATAATGTATTCCAAATTAGAATATTATAGTTGTTTGATTTGAATATTGTATTCCAAATTAGAATATTATAGTTGTTTGATTTGAATATTGTATTTTTTATTAGGATATTGTGATGTATTGGTTTGAATAGCATATTCTAATATGTTATTTTACTTTAGATATTATATCCCTAATTAGAACATTTTCATCTTATTTTATTTTTCTTTTGATTACATAGATGAAAGAGAAGAAAAAAATTATGGAGGACTTCATAGAGAAATTACTGGGGTTTGGACTTTTTGGTGAATATGTATAATTAAAATTTCTTAAAACGACGTATGATGGAGTGTTTTAAGGGATTTATTAAGTTGGAGTGAGAGATAATTTAGTTCCTTAAAAGATGGGATTTATTTAATGGCATATAATGATATTAAAAGTTTAAAAGTAATAAACTTTTATAAAGTAGGTATACAAGATAAAATAAATATTTTAAAGGTATATGGAGTTAACTATTATTTTCCGTGAGCATACGGTGTAAATTACTCTAAAATTAATCCTATAAAGTTCATAGAATTTTTTTTTAAAAAAAGATTATATAATTAAGACATTTACAAGGTCTATTAAATTTCATGATACAAATTAGCCAACACGGTATAATAGGTCAAGACTAACTACACATTAAAATCAAGGTCTATTAAATTTCATGATACAAATTAGCCAACACGGTATAATAGGTCAAGACTAACTACACATTAAAATCAAGGTCTATTAAATTTCATGATACAAATTAGCCAACACGGTATAATAGGTCAAGACTAACTACACACTAAAATCAAGCCATTTAACTTTTGCAGTTAAAAATTAAAGAAAGAACACACATCTATACTATATTAAAAGCACGGAGGCACTTAGCGAAATGTCATTCATCATTTTTACTCTTTAAAAACATATATCACATGAGACAAAATAGTCATTTGATTATTTTTCTAATATTAAGGAATAATCATTTAATTATTTTTCTAATATTTAGGATTTCAAAATCAACTAAATATGTATGTACTATGGAATCCGTCATATTGTTTTGTAAACAAAAACTAACACCCCCAAAAAAGGCAGAATGACCTAAATGGCACCTATACTTATGCCACTTTGTCATGTCGGTCCCCAAACTTAACAATTTGTCAATTGAACACTTACACTCCTTCAATCCGTTATAATAAACGCTTATAACAGGAGGCTGCCAATGCGTGTAATACAATCTCCTCCACGTTGGCTGCCACGTCAAAAAATAACAATGTGTAGATGTCATGTCACATGGTAGATTAAAAATATTTAAAATCAAAAAAATAAAAATAAAAATAAAAATAAAATCCAAACATTAATCCCCTAATCCCCTCCCTCATTGATTTCTCTCTCTCCCCTCACGTTCTTCCTCCTGCCCATCTCGTTTCTCTCTCTTCATGTTATTCCTCCTCCCCCCTTCCAATTCTTCCCTTTTTATATCGAAATAAAATTAAAATGAATAAAGAAAAGAAATCGAGTAGAATTAATTTTTTTTCCAGATCTAAAAGTGGGAGAAGAAATTCGGTGGTCCATTTTGTCTAGCTCGAAAATGGGAGAATAATTCATTATTATTATTATTATTATTATTATTTTTTTTTTTTTTTTTTTTTTTTTTTTTTTTTTTTTTTTTTTTTTTTTTTTTTTTTTACTGATTTAGGAAAATAGTCTTGTCTTGTTTGATTTTTGAAATTGGGGGTTAAATTTTCTCAAAACGCTTTAATCTTTTTACAGTATTAATTGGTAAAAGATTTATAATTAGTGCTTCAAAATCCTTTATGGGTTAATTTTGAGGTGTGGTGATTTTTGAGAATTTTACGGTTGAACCTTTTTTTGGTTTGTTGGTATTTTTGATAATTTGATGGGTTTTTCTTCTACAAAAAAGGCATATAATTGAATTTTAAAAGAGAACTGAATTATTGGCCAAAGAATTCTAAATTCATGATAAAGTTTCAGATTCGAGGGAAGAAACAAACAAAGAAGATAGGAGAGGGGAGAAAGAATTGGACAGAAAATAT